TAATAGAACAATAAAAATAGAATTCCGTCCCCCAATATTTATTTTTCTCTTTCTAAATTCGTCAATACAAAAGATATTTCACCGTATATACTTCGTCTAATATCGTTATATATCGATGGATCAGTCTATCCTGAAAATCAAGTCCACGATTTCCATGACGAAGGGATGCAGGTAATTAGCGCTGGGTGCTTTTCTCACAACCATGCGGTGCGCGTACATTATGTCAGTGAAATTTTAACGTGGGCGGGAGATGCGAATTTAATTTAACAGTACTATATTTAGCGCGGTAATTAGCGTTGGAAAAAGACGATTTTCAGATGAAACAAAGCGAGAGCTGTAAATAATGTAAGGTATGTAATCAGCGCGCTTAATAATTTTAAGCCATTCATTATTAGCTTATTATGCATTTGTGTTATCAGTAATTAATTCATTAGAGTTAAAGAATTCGCAAAATTAATTTCTGTTACATAAATATGCACGTAAAATGGAGGGACTTAATAGGGTCGAAATTTATAAGCGCGCATCGCACCGTAGGTACATTTTATATAGTCATTACGCTCGCGTAAAATGCAAAGCGCTCTTCAAAAAGCTCCACGGGAGCCAGGCATCGCAATAAAACGTAATAACGTATAAATCAAAAGGATGCCGGAGCCAATAAAATTCGATTGAAACAGCTTTGGCACATTTGTTAAAATCCTCCTCCCGACGCATTAGAAACTCGGATGCGCGACGATGCACAAAATACAAAACAAGTGTAATGCATCAATAAACTCGACATGACCGGTATGGATGCAGCAAAATGCAACTATCGCGTAACTGGTATTTTGGAGAAAAAAAAAACAAGGGGAAAACAACGATGATGCAAGTTTTGCAAGCGCGACGTGTTTCGGCGAATTCTTTCGTTACTATCAATCAGCATACCATAGCGTGTTTCAGTTATATTTTGCAAAATAACGTCCGCTGGGTGTAATTTTTATTCATGCACGAGGAACGATAACGCGCGCGATTATTCGTCCAGCTATCACCGCGGACGCTCTATATACACTAAATTTTCGTGTTATGCAGCGTCCATTATTCTCAGTTTCAGTATGCGGAAGTTATTGGTAAGTAAGACGGTCTTGGACCCGGGCATTATCTACGAACAGTAGTTCTCCATGGACTGGGGCTTTAACTTTGGGAGTCGGCGATCCTCGCCACAAAGCGAGGACGATAGTTTAGCTCGGTCCAATGTGCTAGTTCGATTAGTTACATGGCTCGTACCACGGCTTATGGTTAACGTCGAACGTTTAAAGCCAAACGCTCGCTGATCTTCTCGCTGCATATGTATGCGTCCCGCAGCGTTTTGCAGACGATCCTATGATCTGTCCAAGTCTTTCGAAACTCCCTTAACGATATCGCATGCCGTACTAGAACGGCCAACTGCGGAAAACTATCTCCATTCTATGAAAGTTTGTTCATTGAGGCTTGAAAGAAAATCTTAAGTAAGGAGACATAAATCTCCCGTAATGTTTAACAAAATTTTATTTAGTCCTTAATTATAATTACATACGAATAACGTAACTCTCTCTCTCTCTCTCTCTCTCTCTCTCTCTGTCTCTCCTCTCCCCCCTCTCTCTCTCTCTCTCTCTCACTAGAATTTTAATCCTCCAATGTTAGAATATACAATCAATTTTTTATTACAAATTCTAGTTATATATTAATAAATTTTAAATTTGTAAAAAATAAATACAAGTTCTATGTAAGTAATAAAAACTCATTAAAACTTTCAATGGAGTGGACGAATTTTTTCATATAGTCCAGAATAATATTTATGTATAAAAATATATAAGAATTTTTTGTGAATTTTGATAAATAAATTTAAATCTCTGAAAAATAAACAAAATACAAATCAAGTTCTATAATAGTAACAATTTGTTTTTATATAATCTGGAGCAATATGAAAATGTGTAAAAATTTTTTGTGAATTCTGATAGACAAATTTAAATCTTCAAAAAATAAGTAAAATACAATTCAACTTCTATGTAGTAAAAATTCGTTAAAACTTTCACAAAAGTTTAAAAATTTTTTCATATCCAGAACAATATAAAAATAATTAAAAACTTCTTATGAATTTTAATATAAATTTTACTTTAGTATAAATTTAAATCTGTAAAAAATAAGTAACATATAATCCAATTTTTGTGATAGTAAAAATTCATTTAAGTATTTCACAAAAATGTAAAAATTTTTCATATAATTCAGAACAATATAAAAATACATATAACTTTTTTGTAAATTCTGATAAGCAAATTTAAATCTGTAAAAAATGAGTAAAATACAATCAAATTTCTATGATAGTATAAAAACTCGTTAAAGCTTTCACAAGACTGTAAGAATTTCTTCATATAGCCCCGAACAACATAAAAATAAGATTAAAAACTTTTTGTGAAAGAGATTTAAATTTACTAAATTAAAATTTTAGTATAAATGTTAATTCTGCATAAATTTAAATCTGTAAAAAATAAGTAACATACACACAATCCAACTTCTATAATAATAAAAACTCATTGTCAAAACTTCCATTTTTCATTCACAAAAGTTTTCCAGATTTTTATACAGTCCGGAACACACAGCATAAAAATCTACAGTAAAGTTCAAAAGTCTAGGAAGTAAATTAAGAATAAAAATTTCACATTGCCGAAAGTTAAATAATGTGGATAATCGTCGAGATACTCGACGAATACTCGATGTTAATTATTGCAAGATTAAGATGCGATCTTCCGTGTATCAGGAAACACCCAAGGTACTCGAAATTGCAAGCGATTATTTTCTCACGTTACACAATAGCCGACGGTTTCGCCGCAGGGAACAATGCGCCCGTGTAAAATAGGAAGTCGCAAATAATGGTCGAAAAAATTCGGTTAACGGAACGGAGAAATAATCTGACACGCAAATTTATCCACCGTCAGAAATTAAAGCGGACATAGCCCAATTTTTCCTTGCCCTCTCCTGACCGCGCGCCTGAAAGAAAAGCTCGCCTTTAACAACACGCGAGACAAAAATTTCAGTGAGCTCGTTTCTCATCCAGGGCTGCGCCGACCAGCCGCCGCCGCTTTTCTTTCCATGTAGCCCGGCACGTAACAAACGATTCGCGGTGTGTCGACTTTCAACGGAATTTTCCTCTTATTGCCATCGCACCATCGCTGCACCGTATAGATATATTTAACGTTCGTATAATACGGCCCCTAATATACATCGAAAAGGGACAATATTCGAGTTAGCAACAAAATTGATCGTGTAGTTACATAAAGGAGCATAATTAAAATTATAATTTCCAAACCAATTTTTAATCTTTACCTTTTTGATATAATTATGTAATTAAACGCATAGAATCTCCCGTTATATTAATTATCGTTATTATACAATATTTCATATTTTAGAAATATACGTAATCGTTCATTTTTAAAAGAATTTAAGCATAAAAGAGATAACATAATAAATAAACACTTTTTCAGTTTAAAATGCTGTAAAAATATAATTATATATGAAACATTCGTTATAACTATCAAATTATTCATCTAATTCGAAATTGTATGGCATCTCTTCCATTTAATTTTTAAATGTAATTGCTTTTGTTTCGGCTACTCATCATACATATTATAGGTACATATACATACATATATACAATACACACACATATATACAATATATATATATATATATATATATATATATATGCATATATATAAGTAACCGAAATGCAAAAGCAACTATATTCAAAAATTAAAAAATATGAGATATTGAAACCTTTGGATTTCTTAGCATTTTGATTAATAATAATTGAATATTTTAAATTTTGTAAAAACAATTACGAACTTTATAAAATCAAAGAAAAAACAGTGAATCAAATTGCAGATAAATTAAATCCGCACTCTGTACTCGGACTATACACAGAAAAAATGTTATCACAACTGGAAATAATGATAGGCTAGTCAATAGTCTAAAAGCTTAGGACGCTCGCACGGAATGCAAAGAGATCCCGGCCGAGGTAATATTTTTCGCAATAAACATTAATTATTTATAGATTTTAATATGTCATTCAACATTATTATTAAGATCGTTTCAAAGATGCGAATGAGCATCAAAAATTTGTTGAATTGCTAATCAATTTAACTTTGATATTACTGTGTATAGTTTAGTAGAATTAGCGTTTCAAGATCGAAAAATCAATTTCGCGCGTTTCTGCGGACTACATACGTAGTATATAAATTCAAACAAGAATCACACAAGCATTTAAGCTAGATCGTTTAACATTTCTATAATTTGTGTTATCACACACACACACACACACACACACACACACACACACACACACACACACACACATTTACGCACACACACACACACACACACACGCACATATACGGTCCTATAATATATTATATTAATTATTATCAACAATTATCGAAAATAATGTTATTAATCTAATTATCAAAAACAAACTATATATCTAAATAAATTATTATCAAAAACAAAAAACTATTATCGTGAGACAAGTTTTATGAACTATTTCAATAGCTTCCAGTAAAAGAGACAAGTCTTTTTTACTATAAGCTATTGAAATAATAACTTAGCACATAACATTTATCGCAGAAACATAATTAGATTTAGTATTTTGCTGCACAAATATATTATATTTCATAAAAATTCTAACGAAGTATTTCTGTATGGATATGTAATACCTTCGAGATGCATTCTCACATACTGTAAGCATCATTTCATCCTTGTTAAATATTAAACAAATCAAATATTAAATAAGAACAAATGATGCTTACAAGTGCTATGAACACAAAAGCGAATGCATCCTCGAAGAACACTTAATAGCTTAAATTCTGTAGACGCCAGAGTATAGAATCGCTTCCATTGTCATAAAGAGAAGGCAGAATTTCGTGAATCAGCCTCAATCTCTATGTCGCCAGTAATCGCTCTTCATTAAACCGCTTCAATCGTGTTCATTGCAGGTATCTCTCGAGAACACTGTTCAGCACCCACCGTTGCCGCCTATGAGTAGCGGAAACATTCCCAATAGTCTGGGACTACGATTGGAGGCTGAACCTCGACACTTTGCTAACAACGGACAGGTCAAGATCAAATGCTTCGCTGAGGTCGGTTCGCGCATATACGAGGCCGAGCGCAGGGTGATGAAGGCGTACGTGAACAATCAGAAGCTCAGCGCTGATGATATGCACGCGACTGCATGCAGCATCCATGCCAACATCTTCGTTCAGCTGCTCACGGCGATCCTCGCGCTCGTTCTGCTCACAACGTGACCTATCGGCCTCCTTGCGTGAGTCAGCCCCTTCGAATGGGAATTACGTTGCGGCGCGCGCTCTAAAAACGCGCGACAGGTTCAGTGTCAGTTGTCCGATCCTTAAATATAAAATTAGGCTTAGCGATTAAGCGACAGTAGGCGATTAATCGGTCGATCGGCTCGCTCTCGGTCCAACCACGCTTTCGCGTTCAGCAATGCACTACTGTCGTATTTGCTTGTCGGCGGATTGCTAATGAAATGTAAGGAGACACGTGAGAAAATGTTGTTGAGATGAGACGATCGTAGCAATTATAAAAAATAATGTTCTGTTGATCATTATGCATTCATCATTTAATTACTAAAACATATATTGATGTATTATATATGTATTATTTTTTTATTTTGATATGATATTGGGATTATTATATATGATTTAAGTACATATCGCTGTCTTGTTTCAAAAGTACAACAAAAAAAATATAACTAAAAAAATTAAGTTTCTCAAAAGAAAAGGGAAAAAATATTTTTCAACTTAACAGAAGTACTGATTAATCAAATAATGTTGACAAAAAGAACATATTCTTAACATGATTAAAGATCATTTTTGTCATTTTCGTTTCACAACCTTTAAGATTCACCCTCTTTGAGTTGTGATAATTTTGATGATTTTGTCTTATAAACATTTTTGAGTTATGACATTTTTTTACAATTTTTTCATAAATCCTTTCTGAGTTCTGACGTTTTGATGATTTTTATAAAGTTAAGTTAGTTTACTTTTAATTATTGATAATAAGGTAATGTTTGCCTAACTCGTTCACGGTAATCACTCGAAAATTACATTTTATTAATTGTGTCACTTTTGGATAAAATGTACGGTATGTTTCATATAAAGAATAAAAGAATTATTTTGAGATCAATATTACCACGACGGTAATTTTGGTAGAAAATAGATGAACGCACCTTTGCATATTTTGAGCAACTTTTTAGATCAGTATTCCTTAGTGTTAATGTACTTAGTTGAAAGTTTCCCTGTAATTTTCGTAGAGGTTCCTATCTCTCTTTCACTCTCTATCTTCTTTCGACTTCTTATCATATTTAACTTCCAATCTTTTTAACGAGTTCCAGATCCGGGAGACTCTTTAAAGTCGATCGCGGATTGCAGTCGTCATTAACTTTTCACTGAAGTTTCAAAATTTTACTGCTAATAGTGAATATTACAAGTTAGATAGCGCGATCACAAATTTCTCGAGTAATAATAATGAATTTACAATTTTTGATCTTGTGTCTTCTTAAATTTATCAAGATTTTAAGTTTTTCCTACATTTAAATAAAATTTTATATAAATTTGGAAGGTCGTGCTCAATTCGCGTTCGACTGTATTTTCGTAATAAAGTCCGTTCTATTTTACACTCCGACAATTGCCGTCGTGGGGGTTTAGACAGAACTAGCCGTACTTCATATAGCATGCATGTCGTACCGCGGAGATATAAATTCTAGCGCAGCGCGTGCAAATTCCGTTTTACGACACGCGTGAGATTAACTACCGAAACGCGTATAAGTCACTACACCACGGCGAAACGCGAATTACGTACAAATCGATAAATGGATTTGCTGCGCCGGCATCAACAAAAACCAGGATTAATAATTTGGATATCTCGCATTGCAAAATTGCAAATGCGCGGTTGCACAGTTATATAGGTACAAATAATAATTTTATGAAAGAGAGGCTCCCTTACAGGAGATCGTATAAAAGTTTAAATTCGTGATTATTTCGACAAAAACAATTTGTATGACGTTGGTATAACAAGAATAATAATAAATAACGTCGAAAATCCAATCCAAAGTAATACATTCGCTTCGTCATAATGAAAATATAATATTAAATTCGAAATTAGTAAACCAATATTTTATTATCATTCGCTCAGTAAAAATTTCCAATTAACCATTCAATTTTTATATTTTTTTCAAATTTGTTTATAAAAACATAATCGATCGCGCAGTGTGTGGCATTCTATCGCGATTATTATTTGTAAAATTGTCAGGGAATGAAAGTAACGCGTTGCTTATGATTACCGTGACTACAAGTGACTTTTCTTAATAACGGACTGATAACGTGGGTTACCTTTTTTTTAGTAACTATATGACAGTAACATAATTATATTTTTGTGGTAACAAAATTAATTTTACAGTTATTTTTATCGTTACTTTTTATATTTTGAACCTTTCTGAGAGATAATTTTTTTATACATTCAATCTTCAACCTTTGGCTGATATTCATAATTCGTTTTTACTTCAAAACCATTTTAAATAATGCCTTAATAAGATGCTAATATTTAATTAGTTACCTTTTTGACTCGATATTCTCTAATTCTGAATCAGTCGATAATCATTGATATCAGTGCTAAGTATGCTACTGGTAATCAGTGAATGAAATGTGAGATCTTTACCCTATCTAAATCTTTATTATGTGATCTAACTAATCTTATTTTAGTGCATAAATTCAATGAATATGGTATTGGAAAATTAAAATTAACGTGCAAATATCAGTATTTTAATTATATAGTGCTCGAACATTCTTCCTTTTTTAGTTAAATTTCACTGATTATCCAGTATCAAGTATGTCACTAAGTAATTAGTGACTGATTCAAATTTAGAGAGTAACAAGTAGCGATAACTAATTGCTTTTAAAAAGTAATTTTCCATTTCCTGAAAATAAAATTTTCCACGCACAATTCCGCAAGATATTTGACGATTTTTTGACGCGTCACACGTACGATCGTCCGACAAATACAACGAATTTTCACTTGGCCGAGTACAGTGCGGTTGTTTCACGTGTTTCGCTGCCGACGACACAGGGCGTTTGGTCACGAGAAGCGAGGATGGACGTACGAGCGCGAAGAAAAGAAGAAAATCCTGAGAAGAGGATTCCGCAAGAGCTCCATTCGACCGCTCGGAAAGTAAGAGAGTGCGCGTGAGAGCAAAGTGCGAGGACACAGAAAGTGAAACGAAGTTCGTACAGCCGCAAAAGAGAAAAAAATGCGGGGCAAACAGAGAGAAACGTTGTGTGTGAGATCGAAATGAAGACACGAAGTTTGACTTCAAGAATGAAAGTAGGTGTGATATTATAGTATCTAAGGTGCGACTCGTCGGTCTTCCAAAGTGGCACTCCCCCGTCTTTGATTTGACGCCTTGAAAATATAAGTTAACTACCGTACATGATTATTTTCTTAAGCAAAATTTTTGCACAATAAACGCATGGATTTACATTATATTTTAAGAGATGTATACCTTTGCTTCATTCAAAATTTATATCAGAGGGTCCCGCATAAATTATATGAAAAATTAAGTGAAATGAATTTTCACATATTAAATGTTTTTATCTGGAAATGACACGTAATTATCTATACATGAAAAGGAAGTTTTGCTAAAGAATTTAAAAATTTAGCAAGAAATAGACCTAAAAACAATTTTGATAGTCTGAACAAAATTATTTTCAGATCTGTATTCAGCTCAATTTTTAGATATTCCATTAAACTGTAATATAATGTAGCTTAAACATGACGAACAAAAGTTTCACGGACATAAGACTCAAAGGATAGTTTTTTAACTATAATGTATCAAAGATACTCTGTGAGCACAAATTTTATACTCTGGGTGCAACATATGTGGCTCAATTATCCATTATTGAGCCTTTGTCTATGACATCTTTTATTCACCATATTATGACGTTACATATAATATAGCTTATAATGTGAATAAAAGAATAATGGATAGTTTTTTAACTATGGTGTATTAATCAAAGGTATTCTGTATGCATAAATTTTCATACCTTTTAATACAATATAACTAACAAACTATCCATTATTAAGTCTTGTATCTTGATTTCTTTTGTTCCCCGTTATAAGCTACATTATATATAAAAATTAACTCATTTCACCAGGACCCAATTTTTCATATAATTAGAGAATTTCTTTTAAAATATATAAAATGAGTTGAGCACATTTAATTTTATTCAAATTATTAATCAATTCTATTTGCACTCATTTTTTTCAATGGAACACGCAAAGTCGTAAATTAACGAAGAGGCCAACTTTCGAAGAAAGCGAGTAATTAATGGAAATTAATGAAAGCGTGCTTTAGTGGAAACGAGAGAGGACGAACGCGACTGGCCTCGCCGCACATATCACATCACCGACACACACGTTAACATGTACTTAACACACACATAATACGTCACACAATTCACGCGCACATATACATACCAACGCGCACATGAGCGCGTATATGTCTGGATTAAGAGATGGAAGGAGTAACCAACCCCCGCAGGGTGCGCAGGATACACATATATCAGAGATGGTTTCCTTTTGATCGCTATCGCTCATCGATCCGAGCGTTATTTATTGGCCGTAATAATTTACGAGTTCGCGAGAGGGACACGTTCTGCAACGCGCATAAACGTCGTTTCCGATGTTCAGCGATATTCGGCCAAATCTTTGTGCCTATATGAGTAACATTTCCATTCGCGAAAAATTATAGCGTACGTATTCAAACGCCATTTCCAAAGTGCCAAGAACATTTTTCTTACGTATCACTTTTCCGATTGAATGTACACTCGAACGTACATATTTAAGCACGCGACGGAAAAATAGTCGGAAATAATGATGACAAGCAGCATTTTAGTATGTCTATTACTGCTAATTGGTTTGACCAAAATCCTAATCGTGTAAGATGTTATCTTAAATACTGATTTTTAAAAAAATGATAAATAGTAGTAACAGTAGCAAAAAATAAATTTGGCAAAGTCAAGTATCTCAACAAAACGAAAATCGTATGAGACTCACTTCCGTAATTTTGAATATACAGTCTTAATCAAAAATATAAAGGACCCCACAAATCGACATAAACATTTTATATCTATACTCAGACAAAAACATAATGATGGCAATTATAATGGTGAAAAATTATAATATAGATTTTTTTTTTATGTAGAGTGAATTTATACATATAGTGGAATAAATTAATGTACGAAAAAGAGAAAAGAGGAAATTGAATAAACTATTTTATAGTTGGAATAACTATAAAATAGTTTATTCAACTATTTTTATTTTATATATATCAATATTCATTCTATATATAAATCTTGTACAGTTACTATTATTATTTCCTCTGTAACGAAGTATAAAAAATAGTTTTATTGAAAAATAATATTTATTTTTATTGTATAATAATCTTAATATTTTGTTAGTTTTCCTTTGAATTTTATTGCCTCCTTTCCTAGAAAATGTAATAAATTGAAAGCATTTTATTTGTAATAAATTAAATTTAAATTTTATTTGTAATGAATCGAAATAAT